GAGGAGGGGCAGGACAGCGCTGGAGTCCAGAGCACACCCCTGGGGCACCCCCAGCAGCCACCTCTTCCAGCCAGCTGTATCTCACAGCGCATTCAGCTATGAATTCACCCACGGATTATTCTGTTGATAAGTATGACATTCTGTGGTCCAATCACCTTCCGAAGAACCACTCCTGGACACTGGAGACTTCAGGAGGACATTTTAATACAAATCCCAACAGTTTACTAAAATCCTTTAGTTGAATAACAGAATTTATACAAATGTTGATTATATTTATCATTATTATTTTATTGCTATCTCAAAGGGACCCAAGATCTAGTTATGTAGCATGCAAAGAAGTAATGTGAGCCACCGCCAAGGACAGAGGTACTGTAGTACTATGCAGAAGCAATCAGAAAAAAAAAAATTATATGTGACTTCATCAGAGCCAGATTGCTAAGTGTAAGTAGTGTCTTCCTAGCCAGGCTAGGTACTCTCGAAAATAGAGAGTTCTGTAACACTCTCAATACATTTCAGATTTCATCATGAAAATCACTTTGGCTAAGAAAGTAATTCCCACAAAAAAAATCCTTAAATGACAAATATGTTTATTGTAAACTGTCAATTAGATGTTCTCGACCTACTCAATAAACATGGAAGTGTTGAACAAAATATTTGTAAAAAAGGTCCTTCAACATAGGACATGCACGGGATAAATGTGATGAAATCGTACACTTCTGCCTGCCCTCTGCCTGCCCTCTTTTCTGTCCCAGTGTGGCATCACAGCTTCCTCGGAAATGTCTCCTAGCCCACTCTGCCACCATACACATTGGGGAAGCCTGGAAGCGTGTACTCTTAGTTGGGTTCATAATACTCTGTATACATAATCATTACTGCCTTTTTTGTACACTAATTTGATTATGTGCGTATGTGTGTCTAATTTGCTTAGTGAACTAGGCTTCTTAGGATAAGCCTACATTTTGTGCAGCTCCAAGACTCAGGCTTGTATGTATCAACTGAACGATGTGTGGTTCATATATTTCCCATCTTCCTGTGCCTTTCCCAAGTTTCACTTTTTCTAGTGTAACTTTCCAGTGGCTCAGGAGTTTCTGTTCAGGTTGCTCATCCAGTACTACAAAAGGGTGAACGGGGTGCGCTGCCATGGTAAGGGGACACCTACCACACAGTTCTAATGACAAGCATTTTAAAAAGGAGGGAAGGAATTGTGTTACTTTCCTGAGGTGGGAGTAATAAATTACTATAGATTTCCTGATAGGAAACAACATTTATTCTCTCTCAGTTCTAAACTCCAGAAGTCCAAAATCGATATATACTTTGGTCAAAATCACGGCGTTGACAAGACCACAGTCTTCCTACATTGCTCAGGGCGAATCCTGGCTCACTTCTAGCTGCTGGAGCTAACAGCACTCCGGGGCTTCCGGATTCCTGGGCTACAGGTCTCCGCCTGCGGGGCGGGGACGACGACGGGGGACGGCTCAGTGGAATAAGCTCTTCCCTGGCAAGCGCAAGGGCCTAAGTTCAACCCCGGCTCTGAAAAAAAATAAAGAAAGAAGGAAGTACAGGGGCTCACTGGCTTTTCTTTTCTGTCTGCAGACTCAGCCTTTGTCTCTGTCCTCTAAAGACGCGTTAGCGAATGTATTTAGGGCTCACCTGGATGATCCCTTATCAAGATCCTGTCTGTTAGCTCCCTTTTTGAATATAAAAAGGAGCATTTACTGGCCCCTAGAATTAGGACTTGACTTATTTGGATGGCAATTATTCAGCTGTTATACCTCAATTAACTTAACTGATATTAAATTTATTTTTCTGATTGGATAGACAACTTCCAAGAAATTTCCCTTAAGAAATAAAAGCTGAGGGATTCTCAATGTTTCCCTGGGTGGTGGACGATATTATGCCTGAAAAGTTTGTAACTTGATTGAGTTTACCTTTTTCATGCTTTCATATCTGTTTACCAAAAGAGACTACTAGAATTAAAATTCAAAATGCAAAGAGCCTGTGTGCTTTTTGTTAGGAACACAAGAGAGAAAACTGCTCCAGTGAGCTGCGGAACTGTAGAGAATCCCAGAGGTCTAACTGACAGAGATGAGAGAGGAAAGGAAACTGCGGGTGTTCCCACGACACTTCGCGAGGAAGGCAATCCCACCTGAGACCAGTCAGAAGTGGTCCAAAGGCTTCCTATTTATAAGTCTGAGGACAAGTTTCAGACAGTGACTCACTGTCACTTCTGTACAAAAATAAGTTTAAACCATCGTGTGATTCAGCCGTTGAGGAATGTCTGCAGTTGCACTCCTGGCGTGCTCAGCTCCTCAAGGACCACGCAAGAGGATGGGGAGTTCTTCTGTCCTCAGTCACCATCCCTTTGCTGAAAAGCAAGGCTTAGGATGTGAGGTGATTTAAGGACCACAGAATTAATAACCACAGTAATTCTGAGCAAACTGA